AGAATGGGAAAGAAAGGTGATTTAAGCAATTTTGAGCGTGGCATGGTTGTTGGTGCCAGACGGGCCGGTCTGAGTATTTCACAATCTGCTCAGTTACTGGGATTTTCACGCACAAACATGTCTAGGGTTTACAAAGAATGGTGTGAAAAGGGAAAAACATCCAGTATGCGGCAGTCCTGTGGGTGAAAATGCCTTGTTGATGCTAGAGGTCAGAGGAGAATGGGCCGACTGATTCAAGCTGATAGAAGAGCAACTTTGACTGAAATAACCACTCGTTACAACCGAGGTATGCAGCAAAGCATTTGTGAAGCCACAACACACACAACCTTGAGGCGGATGGGCTACAACAGCAGAAGACCCCACCGGGTACCACTCATCTCCACTACAAATAGGACAAAGAGGCTACAATTTGCAAGAGCTCACCAAAATTGGACAGTTGAAGACTGGAAAAATGTTGCCTGGTCTGATGAGTCTCGATTTCTGTTGAGACATTCAGATGGTAGAGTCAGAATTTGGCGTAAACAGAATGAGAACATGGATCCATCATGTCTTGTTACCACTGTGCAGGCTGGTGGTGGTGGTGTAATGGTGTGGGGGATGTTTTATTGGCACACTTTAGGCCCCTTAGTGCCAATTGGGCATCGTTTAAATGCCACGGCCTACCTGAGCATTGTTTCTGACCATGTCCATCCCTTTATGGCCACCATGTACCCATCCTCTGATGGCTACTTCCAGCAGGATAATGCACCATGTCACAAAGCTCGAATCATTTCAAATTGGATTCTTGAACATGACAATGAGTTCACTGTAATAAAATGGCCCCCACAGTCACCAGATTTCAACCCAATAGAGCATCTTTGGGATGTGGTGGAACGGGAGCTTCGTGCCCTGGATGTGCATCCCACAAATCTCCATCAACTGCAAGATGCTATCCTATCAATATGGGCCAACATTTCTAAAGAATGCTTTCAGCACCTTGTTGAATCAATGCCACGTAGAATTAAGGCAGTTCTGAAGGCGAAAGGGGGTCAAACACAGTATTAGTATGGTGTTCCTAATAATCCTTTAGGTGAGTGTATATACCTCATACCAGTATTCAGTGCTCCTGTTCGGACTGGCCTTAAGACCAGCGCTCATTCTCAAAGTGTGTAGATGCGGTGCTTTCTCCTCAGTGAAAGCGGTATGCGCATTCTTAATTATCTGATGGATTGGCTAATTTTAGCCCATTCACTGGAGTATGCAGAAAAACATGTCCCACCTTGGCATCTTTCGCCGTTAAAGGATAAGTTCACTTTAAAAAAAAACTTTTGCTGATAATTTACTCACCCCCATGTCATCCAAGATGTCCATGTCTTTCTTTCTTCAGTCGAAAAGAAATGAAGGTTTTTGATGAAAACATTCCAGGATTTTTCTCCATATAATGGACTTTAAATGGGCACCAAACGGTTCAAGGTCCAAATGACCGTTTCAGTGCAGCTTCAAAGGGCTTTAAACGATACCAGATGATGAATAAGGGTCTTATCTAGCGAAACAAACTGTCATTTCAAAAATAAATTAAAAAAGTAAAAGTTTTATAGGCACAAATGCTCGCCTTGCTCTGTTCTGTGATGCACGTTCGTGACTCTCCTGTTCAAACTCGTCTGGTATCGTTTAAAGCCCTTTGAAGCTGCACTGAAACTGTCATTTGGACCGTTGGTACCCAATGAAGTCCATTATATGGAGAAAAATCCTAGAATGTTTTCATCAAAAACCTTAATTTCTTTTCGACTGAAGAAAGAAAGACATGGACATCTTGGATGACATGGGGGTAAGTTAATTATCAGCAAAGGTTTTTTAAAAAGTGAACTATTCCTTTCAGGAGCTCTGTCTCAAATCTGCTTTGCTTCTTGCCCTTGTTTCAGCTAAGTGCATTGGAGACTTACATGCGTTCTTGGTGAAAAATCTCGAGGGAACCAGTGGGTGGGTTTTAGACCTCATATTCAGTTAACAAAGAAATGTTCAAGATTCAGTTTTGTTCTAACATTCTTTTTTCCTGTAAATTATTATGCAACAATCTGACACAGAACTGGAGTTTTTAAGTTAAATGCCTGTATCTCTGAATTGCAAACGATTCCGTTGTCTCTAATTTGCTTTTTATTGATGTCTGATTACAGCAATAAACCCTCAGCAATATTCTTTCAGCTTCTCTCTGAACTGAATTGAAGGATTGATAGTTTAACAGTGCTGGAAATATAGAGCTAATTTCTGATAATAACTCAATTTGTGAAGATTAAGATTTGTGTTTTCATTTTATTTAATGAACAAATGCATGTAAAAAAAATTGTATGCATGTAAATCATATTTAATGTAAGAGCAAAATAAAAATCAGCCAGAGGAGTTTAATTGTTTCTAAACAGTTGTTTGATCAAATCTCTTAAAGGGATAGTTCACCCCAAAATGAAAATTCTGTCAGTAATTACTCTCTCATGTTGTTCCAACCTCGTAAGACTTTAGTTCATCTTGTGTCTCTGTTGGCCTCGAGTGAGTTCACGTAGTGTAACTGCGCAGCGCTTCTGTGTTGTACGTCACATGTAGGCTCACTATTGGCCGACGCTGGTCGTGTGTGTGATGCGTGTGACGTACAACCCAGAAGAGTTGCGCTGTTACACTACGTGAACTATCTCGAGGCCAACAGAGAAGGAAATTAGTAGTTGAATAAAGTCGTTATTTTTGTTTGTTTTTTACGCACAAAAAGTATTCTCGTCACTTGATAAACTTAAGATTGAGCCACTGTAGTCACTTAACGATGTCTTTTACTTTTCTGGGCCGGCAAGTTTCAATCCCTTAGAAGCCTATGGAGGAGTGATCCAGCTCTCAGATTTAATCAAAAATATCTTCATTTCTGACAGAATTTTCATTTTGGGGTGAACTATCCCTTTAAACTGTGAATAATCTCGAGTGATTGTACAGTGGGGGAAATAAGTATTTGACCCCTTGCTGATTTTGCAGGTTTGCCCACTTACAAAGAATGCAACGATGTATAATTTTAATCATATGTACATTCTAACAGTGAAAGACAGAATCCCAAAGAAAATTCCAGAAAATCACATCATATGAATTTATTTAAATTGATAACCATCTGATGAGGAAAAACAAGTATTTGACCCCCTGGACAAACACCATGTTAATATTTTGTAGAAAAGCCCTTGTTGGCCAACACAGATGTCAAACGCTTTTTATAGTTGGTGACAAGGTTTGTGCACATTTCGGCAGGGATGTTGGCCCACTCCTCCCTGCAGACAGCCTCCAAATCTTTCAGGTTCCGAGGTTGTCACCTGGCAACTCGAATTTTAAGCTCCCTCCAAAGATTTTCAATTGGATTCAGGTCTGGAGACTGGCTAGGCCACTCCAGAACCTTGATGTGCTTCTTCTTCAGCCACTCTTTTGTTGCTTTGGCGGTGTGCTTAGGGTCGTTGTCATGCTGAAACACCCATCCTCGACCCATCTTCAGCTCTCTCACTGAGGGAAGGAGATGTTGGTCCAGAATTCCACGATACATGGCCCCGTCCATCCTCCCCTCAATACGATGGAGTTGTCCCGTCCCCTTGGCTGAAAAGCACCCCCAAAGCATGATGTTGCCACCACCATGCTTGACGGTGGGGATGGTGTTCTTTGGGTTGTACTCGGTGTTCTTTGCCCTCCAAACACGACGAGTTGAGTTGAGGCCAAAAAGTTCTATTTTGGTCTCATCTGACCACATCACCTTCTTCCAGGCCTCTTCTGAGTCGTCCAGGTGGTGAATGGCGAACTTCATGCGGGCCTGTACATGTTTCTTCTTGAGCAGGGGGACCTTGCGTGCGCTGCAGGATTTCAATCCATGACGGCGTAGTGTGTTACCAACCGTTTCTTTTGTAACTGTGGTCCCAGCTGCCTTCAGTTGATTCATCAGTTCCCCTCTTGTGGTTTTGGGATGATTCCTCACCGTTCGCATGATCAGGGACACCCCACGAGGCGAGATCTTGTGTGGAGCCCCAGACCGAGGGAGGTTGGCGGTGGTGTGGTGCTTCTTCCATTTCCTGATAACTGCACCGACAGTTGATCTTTTCTCTCCAAGTTGCTTTCCGATTCTCTTGTAGCTCATCCCAGCCTTATGCAGATCAACAATCTTGTCCCTGATGTCCGTAGAAAGCTCTTTGGTCTTGCCCATGGTGGTGATGTTGGATGCTGGTTGTTGGGGTGTTGACAGGTGTCTTTTATACAGGTAACGAGGTGAGGCAGGTGTATTTGATGTAGATAATTGGTTGGGATTGGGGCTGTGTCTTAAAGAAAGACTAACTGGCTTGTAGGAGCCAGAATACTTGCTGTTTGGTAGGGGGTCATATACTTGTTTTTCCTCATCAGATGGTTATCAATTTTTATAAATTCATATGATGTGATTTTCTGGAATTTTCTTTGGGATTCTGTCTTCCACTGTTAGAATGTACATATGATTAAAATTATAGATCGTTGCATTCTTTGTAAGTGGGCAAACCTGCAAAATCAGCAAGGGGTCAAATACTTATTTCCCCCACTGTAAGTGTGATGATCATCTGCTAAATGAGCAACAACGACCACAATTCACTCCTTCAGTCAGTGAAGCTCCCACAGCCGTTCATGAGAGTTTAAATGCTGGGGAATATTCCCATCTTCCCACAGGAGAAGAAGAAGCAAGCAGGAGGAATTACTCCAGGAGAAACTACGGACATACTATTGTAAAGATGGAGATTAAGGAAGAACCCTGCAGAATAAAAGATGAAGATACAGAGGAACAAATAGGTTGGTGTTTTCCTTCATTCTCTTTAATGACTGATGAGGAACATTAAGATGAAAAATTGACATATAAATAACATCTAAAACTAGATACTAATAGACTCAGTAGTAAACTGGATTTTTGCTAAATTTAAATCTTGAACAATGTTTATTTTTGTTTCTCATTTCTCCTTTAATTGAATTATGGGAATTTAATTTGTTTATTTTAGACCTGATGGAAGTGAATGAAGACAAACAGCATCAGTTTCAGAAACCTCATTATTTCACAAATGAAGATGGAAATGCAGTCGTTTCAAAGACTGAAGAGAATTTCAGACAGAAACAAGCTGGAAAATCTGGAGTCAAAGGATCTTTAACCTGTTCTGAGTGTGGAATGAGTTTTGTATATAAATCAAAGCTGAACAAACACATGATGATTCACACTGGAGAAAAGCCTTTTACCTGCACTCAGTGTGGAATGAGTTTCAGTTACAAAAGCTATCTCAATGATCATCTGCGCCGTCACTCTGGATTGAGATCATTCAGCTGTGATCAGTGTGATAAAACATATGTTTATGAATCGGGCTTAAGAGCACACATTAAAGTTCATACTGGTCTGAAGCCTCACTTTTGTTCTGTATGTGGGAAGAGTTTTTCACATCTTGGATCTTTAAAACGACATGAGAGTATTCATACTGGTGTGAGACCTTATGTGTGCTCTGACTGTGGGAAGACCTTCACTTCATCCAACAACTTAAAATCACACCAGAGAGTTCACACTGGAGAGAAACCGCACCAGTGCTCTTCATGTGGGAAGAGTTTCAGCCATTCATTTACTCTACAGAAACATAAGAAAAAGCATTGCCCGAAGGTGTCTAAGTGAGCAAAGTTCACTTCCATAACTTGAAAATAAGAAAAAGATGGAATTACATTTAATACAGTAATTTGTTCTAAAATTAGTATTGAAGTTTGATTGTTTGATAAGGGGAACCGGTTAAAATGGTTGTGAACTGCATTGTAAGTGTTGCATGTGTTGTTCTTCCGACACCCGTATTGATCCTCTGTTGTGTTGCACATGCGCAGTAAACACTGAGTGTTACTGTATACAAGATGAACTGAACAGTAAAGCAACAATGTGAAAATACTCGTGTCAGTGTCATCGCTCAAGCAGTGCATGGTCATCTCATACAGATGGAACAAGAATAATAGTTCAGAAAACTTTCATTTTTCATTATGTTCATTGAACATATGAGGCATTTGTGAAACAATGGCAACAATAGTCTATCAAATATCATTCATATCACAAACAACTTGTTTTTAGTCTTGCTGTTTAGAGGTGATGCATTGAGAACATATTGAAGACTTTATTGGATTGAATCACTCTCTGCACATTGTGAACGTGAGAATTAAAAATGAATAAAACTTGTGATTTATTTAGATTTAATTAATAGATTTAATTTATTTTTCATTAAATCAAGGGGTTTAACACTGTATTCAGTATTGTTAATGAACCAGTAGTAGTAACACTAATTCTTTTGGGGTCGAAAAATGGCACCAATTGTTTTTCTATGTATATTTAAAGAGGCGATTCCTCTCATATATGGACTATACATATCAACCAAGATAACAAGAGATTGTCGTGGTTGTTTTATATCTGGGAGTTTAACAGAGTTTAATATGGTGTCCGCCAGTAGAGGCGCTCGAGCAACCGAAGCAATGACACACACCCGAGTCTAGGAGAAGAAGAGAAGTGAGCGAGGGAAGGGAACATAAACATGAGAAGTGAAACACAGCCGTTCATTCTGCTCTAAATCTGCTGTTTTACAGACTGTGAGTACATACATTTTATCATTTAATAGGATAAATCTACATGACTATTAAAGATTCGGTTCATTTTAGTGAATTTAACCAGCCGGATCCAAATCAGATCTTTAATCCGAAATTGAGACTACTTTCATTATGTTTGACTAGAAGTGAATCCTTACGAAAATGAACCATGGGTTTACTACAAATAAATCCAAAAAATTATGGTTACTACTGTTAAACCCATTATCATAGTTTAACCGTTATATTTGCAGTTAAAACTGGTTATATAAACAGTAATCAATCTGCCAAAAGCCAGTGACTACATTTTAACTATATTTTCGGCAATGTTGTAAACATAACAAACCATAATAAGCGCATCGTTGGCTAGTTAACTGACAAAGTGTAAAGATTTTGAGTTGTGTTTTTGTAATAAATTAAACCTGGTGTAAAAACAAATTGTAGCACAACATTTTACATTATTTTTCTAACTGTGCTGCTAAAAATGTGCACTACTTTTTTTAGTGACACAAAAGTTTGCCTTCAACTCCATCCTTTTTAATCCAATAATTGGTTCAAAATAGCAGCGTAATCCTTACAGTAAAACCTCAAATTATGAAATTGTTTCTTTTATTTTTATTTTTTATTTGTTTTATTTAACAGACAAACATACAGACCAAAATAGTGCAGTAACGAACAATCTAATAATTCCAGAAGTGAAATAAAAGTGTGTAAATGTATAAGTGTGGGTGTGTGTATGTGTATGCATAAGCAAAGTAACCATTTATTATTTATTACCATCATCATTACCATCACCACCACCACTCCTCACTACCATCATACTGCCAACATTGTATTAGTCAATTTTTATTCTTATTTCTATCTTTTCTCCTATGTAACAATTACCATTGTCAGCACTCTCCATAGATAAATAAAATATACTATAATAAGATAATATAAGATAACCCTCCCCCCAAATCTCTTCAGTCCCTATTTTCTCCTATACTATTTTTGTATGTTATGTGTAGTGTCTAAGGTGCATTAAAAGAAGGGGTCTCAACTTGGGACAGAGATGCTGTCCTATGGAAACCACTTCTCGCTTGTCTTGCCTGCTTAAGTGTTTATGAGGTTTTTCAATGCATATATATTTATATATATATATATATATATATATATATATACACACACACACACACATACACTGTAAAAAATGATATGATCAATAAGTTATGACAACATGTTTTTACATTGCGATAACTCATTAAAATAAGTTATGCGATTTTCAACTTTTTTTATAAGATATACAAGATTCAACTCATTTTTTTCTCAAGTTAAGTCGGTTTAATGTAATTTAAGTTGGAATAACTTAATCCTTCAAGTTGATTATACTTAAAAATTTAAGGCAGCACATTTTTTTACAGTGTATAGTGTATTTCATAATATGAAAAACACATCACTGAGAGAAGATAAAATTGATACTTGTTTTACAGCTGCTATCTGTTAATGAAAAAAGGTCACTTAGGCTCTTACAGCCAAATGGTTATATTTTGACAAACACTTTTGTCTAAAAAAGTAATGAAAATGAACTTTTTTTGAGCAGATTTTGTGTACTTGTCAAATCGTGATTCATGAAACAGTTTAACTGAATTAATTCGCTGTGTTTATCAGACTAATTTTATTGGGAGAAATCTATATCAGGGGCCGAATGTATAAAGCCGCTCAGAGTAACATTTTAGTCAGTCAAAATTCTAAGAATGACATAATTCTACTCTTACGACACAGAATTAAGAATTAAACTTATTATTAAAAATAAATAAACAGATAAAATAAATATCGTTTTGCTTGGAAAAAGCTGGCCTAAACCGAAGTAGTGTTTTAATTCAATTAGATAATCGAATAGGATAATCTGTGTCGTGGGGGTGCAGGACAATAGCCTATAGGTGTTAATGTTCCGTCTTTAGGGTGTTAACCTGATGATACGATACAGAACAGGTCAAATTCCTTTCAGGATAAATCTCTCGATGTGTCTGGACAGGCCCTATTTTAATCCGGTGTGGATACTGGCATTCGCAATCACAGATTCTACTTTTTGGAAGTATGACCAACATAAGAATATTCACCGGAAAATGTCATCTGAACTAGTAAGAAACATCCACTTTTGTTCTGGACAACTAAGAGGAAAAAAGCTTTGCAGTAAATCGCGCTGATTAAATCTAACGATCGCTTATCATATCACATCAAACTGTGCAAATTATTGTTCTCTAATGGTTAATGTTTTTAACAACATCAGCATTGCGTGACTACATTTAATACCCTTCCGATGTTTATCCTTGTTTGCGCATGGGCCCAGTTGCAGTCTCTTTATTTCTCTAGCCACTCCGAGTCCAAAGTCTTTTGCATTTTACAGCGGGTGAATCTGCAGTTGTCACTGGTGATTGTCGTTTGAACCTTTAGTCTAATTATATCAAGTGCTGTGAGAAAAGGCTATAAATCTCCACCTCCAACATCCTCACACTCATAGCCTACTAGCCGAGACTCCTTCTTTATGTGTACAGATGTCTGTGTACTGATGAGACGTAATGACGCAAAGACATGCTCGAATTTCCCGCGGAAATCTGCCAGTACCACTGGAAGTAAAAACATTATTACAAGCTTACCGCTTTGATTTGAGCTAAGGCAAGCAGAGAGTTTTGAACACTGACTGGTTATGTACTTGCTCAAACATTTATTTTGGATAATTTTTAACCCAAAAAAGCTACGGACTGCTAGCCTGGGAAAACCCAGATAACTTCCGGCAAATTTAGATTTGCTCTGAAAGTTAGTCTGGCAAAGAGCTCATTCAAGCCCATTTCCAATCCGTCGAAATCTCGGCACCAATCAGAAACGTTGGGGCGGGCTTTACACGATGACGACAGCGCTGGGATTTTGAAGCAGATTTTGTAGCCTACATTACAAAGATGGATGCCGCCGTCGAACATCACTCGTTCGAATCAGCTATCGCGTCTGTTTTAAGCGATTTGAACGTTTCCTTTTTGTTAAAAACCGAGCAAAGAACAACACTCGGAGTGTTTCACAATGTTTCTCCGCCGCTCTGCACATGTCATCTCCTTCATCGCTCTGATTGGGTTTAGGTCTATCCGCGATGTCCGTTGGTGACGCCCCCTCTGGAAATGATTTGTCTATGACGCTTTGCCAGACCATAACTCAGTTACAACTGAGAATGGTCTGGTTTTAACCAGGCTAACTGACTGCAGCTTTAATTAAATTATAAATATTGTAGCTAATGTATTTAAAAAAAAAATCAATTTAAGTGTTCAATCCAGTTGTTTCAACTTTTAGAGTTTTAGAATGTTTGAGCAGTGTGTATGATTGTCAACAATCTGGCCTTATCTAATCATGAACTGTTGACGAAACGCATGCCAACTAAACGAATGAGATTGGGAAGCAGATACAGAGCGCTTTAATTCGCGATCAACCTCGTTTTATTGTAAGGTGAATTCAAAAAAGCATTCTTTTTCTTTGAAGCAACAAAGGCTAAATAATTTGTTACAGTTGATGCAATTGGTGTGGATGACACGCAGTGACATACAGTATTATCAGCTATATGATGTGTTTCTACCCTGAAACATTTAATATCGAGAGAGACCCGGCGCGCACAGTGAGGGAGACAAAAGAAACTTGCTAACTAGAGATCCATTGCGTCCGCGAGAGAGAGGCAAAGAAAAAACACCCGATCTTAATTTGTTGCTTTGTAGGTTAGCCTACTATTTTCATTTTGTACTGTTTTAATTGTACACCACAAACCTGCAATTTCTTTGTCAATAGAAATTTTAAATGTCGCAATAATGTATTTCTCATTTTGCATCGCATATGGAAACGCTAAACTCGACTTGTTTTAAATAACTTAACTGTCCCGACTCTTTATTTAAACCTTGAAGTGTGCGATGGGATTTTAAACTGAATTAATTTTAGTGTTTTTTTTACATTTTCATTGATTTTTATATTGAAAGCAATACTATTTAGTTAGTCTGTTATTTTTTGTAGCCAAAATCAGTCATTTTTCTGATTTTTTCAATGTATGGATCTGTTTTGAAATTTTTATTTTGTTGCTATGGCCGGGTATCGCTGTCAATCGTCTCGATTTTGTGAATAATTCACAAAACAATAATTTAGCTGTTACGAACTGCTCCGAGACTTGAAGGTAAAGATCCAAAAGCAGCTTTATTCAAGAATAGTCGTACAGGCAGGGTCAAGAATCAGCAAACAGGACAATGGAGAATACACAGAGAGAATCCAAGAAACAGGGAGAGGTCAGGGCAGGCAGCAATAATCA